TTTAATTGACTTTCCAATTCATAAGTGAATTGAATTGCCTCTACCTTTGAGTTAGTGTGTTCGAAAAATCTATCTACGTCCTGTGGTCTGAGTACAGTGAATGTGTCATCTACATACCTCCACCATACTTCGATGTGGGGTGGGGGTGAACGTTTCAATCGCCATGTTTTCCCACCTATCCATGAATATATCTGCTACAACCTGGGATATTTGGCAACTCCCTCAGTTTTTTTGTATATTTTCTCTTGGAATTTCAATACTGTAGAAGTCAGGCAAAGCTGCACTCCCAGCATTATGTCTTCAAGTGGCACTTTTGTCCTAAGTTCGAGTTCTTGGTCAGAAATGAGTTCGTTTGTGACTGTTTTCATAGCCATATGCAGATACATGTAATAGGAATGATTCACCAGTGGTCCAAGGAAGACGGTCTTACCTTAAATCCCTCTCTCTAAATGCCAAACAGTCAATTTCACCTTTAGGCATAAATCTGACCTAAACAAACTGGTTAACACTCAACGAGGTGTGCAACATAGAAGGCACTGTAATAGAAACCAAGTCGGAAATTAAATATCTTGGCGTCATTCTATCTGCTGATCTTTTCTTCCTGGTCGTCTCATATCTTGATGATTTCTAAGAAAATATTCTGTCTCACCTTCTACATCAAGAAGTTAAGACATTCTGGAATAACCCAACCCAACCCTTACTCTTACAATTCGTTAACTCTTGCATCCTGCCTATTATTCTCTATTGTTCCCCCTTAGTTTTTGCAGGGCTACTGAAGAAGGACTATATCTTATAACGCAGGATGTTAAAAGTTGTTAGCAGGGTAAGCAACGTGCCACTTAACCAGTTTGTTAACATTCTGGTTGACAGGCAGATGGACTCATGTGAAAAATGGGCTAAATCCATTCTATGTATCTAACTCACACCACCCTCTTCATTCACAACTCTCCCCTTGTATCTATCTCATCAGTCAGGACCAGAAGCCTATATAGAAAACTATATGCTCGCACTAGCAAGTACAAAAACTCAACCATACCCTACTTAGCTCGTGTTCTGTGTGATAAAGAAAGCATTAGGCGTGAAACCTATAACTTATTAAATAGTCAGTAGAACAAATGGATCTCGTCTTCCCAACTCATCTCATTTACAGGCACAACGTTTTCTTTCTTTCTTTACTTAAAACATCCTTCTTCGTTCTTTCACACTCTGTATGTCTCAACCTTTTTTGTTACCGCTAACGCCAGTAAGTATGCTAGTATCTACTTTTCTGACACTTTCAAACAATCTGTTCAATTTTGGTTTTTCTACCGACATGCCAATATGTTGTTGTCAAAACTAATTGAGATTACCCTTAATCTATGTAGAATTTTATTTATTGTTAATATACTAACTGGATGCGATACTGTAGTGAAATGCTGAGAATTCCATTCTGTATCACAAGTGAGTGACTGGGTCTTCACACACAACAATCTCTCTTTCACCTTCGTAATCCTAATCGTCTTTGACCTTGTCTTGTATGACCTCTGTAGTGGACAGTCCTTACAATCGATAAGTAATAATGTAAGCGGAAAACTTGAATACTGAGAATGTGCTGATGTTCGAAGGCTATTGATTGATGAGGTAACTGCTTCAAATCACCGGAGATATCCATTGAGTCATGGAGGAAATATAAAACAATTATTCAGCCAAGGAAATTTTCTTTACCTATGAAATCATCTCATCAGAGGCTGTACAGTCATAACTATGGTTACCAAAAATGTATAGCAGTCTATTATTGAGCTACAGGGGCGTGGGGTTAGCGACATAAGTGATACAACTACTCAAAAGTGCCTTTACAGGTAAAAATAAAAGTTAGAAATTACATAGTACTCAACGGTAGAAAGATAGAAATTTCATAAGGTTAAAATTGCTATTGAGTGAGAATAAAGGTGGTAGTTGAATGTCAATTTAACAAGTGTAAAGAGGGTGTGAAAATGTACAAAAGTACCATATGAGAGTGATAATAGGTGAATTAATTATTAAAGTAAAAACAAACCAAAAGTAAAATTGAAAATTAAAATTAGAATTTTTTTTTTACAGGGAACGACTAGTGAAGAGGTTAAGACCATGTTGGAATAAGAGACTGAACAGAGCTTGGGGTTGTATTAACGAATCGCCAGAGTCTCCGCCATACACAAATTTCAAAACCTGACATCCTTTGTACCATTTGGCCTCATATTGTAGATAATTATGAAAGACGACTCTGATGGAGCTAAGTGTCTTGAGTTCATCAAATAGTTGAAAATTGAGCTGGTTAACTGTCTTACATTGTCCTTTTGCTAACCATGCCGGATAGTGTTCAGAGATGCGTCTAGAAAGTTTGCGATTTGTGCAGCCAATATAAGTAGCTCTACAGGAACAAGTGAATTTATGAACACACATTGAAGTGACCTAAAGTAGCTCTAGAAATTGATTCGTAGCTCAGCCGAATAGAAGGCTTTTCTTAGTAATCTGCATAGGCGGTTCTTTAGAATTTCAGCTGTGGTATCACATTTAAATTCAACGTTTCTTCGGCACCATCTGGATTCTTTCGGGTTTTTATCTTTACTCTCCCTGTTTTTCTCGATGAATCTTAAAGGATATTCATTTTCCATGAGGAGTTGGCTAAGATCCGGAATTTCAACTCCAATGTGAAGTCAGTGCTACTATACGGATCAGAGACTTGGCGAGTCATAAAGAGCATCTCAAACAAACTTCAAACCTTCATTAACAGCTGTCTCCGCTCAATACTCAAGATCAGATGGCCAGAAAAGATCAGCAGCAGGGATCTCTGGGAGCGAACCATCAGGAACCGATTGTGAAACAAATAGGCAGAAAGAAATGGAGATGGATTGGCCATACGCTGAGGAAACCATCAAGTGACATCACTAGACAAGCCATCGCTCGAGTGGAACCCGACAGAATGGGAAACGGGGAGTTGGTCGTCAGTGCAAGAGTGACTTGGAGGAGGTCATGCGAGGAGGAGATGAAAGCATGTGGACAGACCTGGAGCAGGGTGAAAAAGTTGTCAGAAAACCGAAGGCAATGGAGGTGCGCAGCTGAAGCCCTATGTTCCTCTAGGAACTAAAGGATACAATAATAATAATAATAAATATATATATATATATATATCACTTATGTCACTCCACCCCCACCCACTATTACTCAGTAATGGACTACTATACATCTTTTGGTAAATATAAATACGACTGTACAGCAGCCTCTGATGAGATGATTTCGTTTATAAAGAAAATTTTTTTCGCTGAATTGTCTTTTAATATCTGTTTCAATATGGATTTCATCAACAAACTTGACCTCGTAATCTGTTTTTCCTAAGTTGATCACGTCAATGAAATCGCAGGTGTGTGCCGCCTGAAGAGTCCCGAACATAGGCTATAAAACAGAGTTAGTTACCCAGTAGCACTCCCTGACAATTTTTCTACCTGGTTCTCCAACTCATTCTGTTAGTTCATGATCTCAGACTTGAGGAAAAAAAATTTTTTTTTTGAATTTCCACTTTTCAAAAGAATGGAACACTGATTAAAGAGTACTCTTTTCGATAACCCCTTCATCATTAGGCTCTACAGTTATATATACACATTATAGTGAATGAATGAATTAGTTTTATGAACAACATTAATGTTGTTTAAATAATATCGAGTCAATAATAATATGAGTGGATTACAGTTCGATAGCATCAATATAACAATACACACACTGAATGTCAGAAGAATTAGCAAAGATAATATTAGGAATTCATGAATTTCTAGTCTCTACTGAAGGCCAGGCAGGGCAGTAGTAGGGACTGGAATTGATTCTTTTGAACACAGAGCACTGGTTGTTTGAGGTGAATTGAAATAGCCTCTGTTGTTTGAGGTATGCGGTACTTCGATGATTTTGGCAATTTATTTGGCATCCTGTATATGATGATAGAGAAGGATTCTTCCACTCTGGCTGGCTTTGTGGCCGGTTTGCATCAGATGGTTCAATATCGAACTGTTAATAGTTTTAACTACACCTTTACTTAGCCATACAGGGGGAGATGTTCTCGAGTGAGCACGAAAAATCAAGTTCCTAGAGCAACGGCCAATATAACTCGCTCTACCTGTAGCGCAGTTGAATTGGTAGATACAATTTGAGGTGGCTAGTCTAGTCTAGGTACTTCATCTTTCAGTCGAGGTAGCACCATCGGTAGTGTACAGAATAAGACGTGTAGTTTGCCAGCATTAAAAGTTCTGTGAACTGATTTTCTTAATTTCTTCGTAAGTATCTCACTTGGTATATCGCCCATGAATTGTAATCGTACATAAAGAGGCTTCTTGTTTACAGATAGTGCGTAGTCCTTTTCCGCCGTTTTCTTTGTCATGTGTTTCTTGATAAATTTGTCGGGATAGCTATTTTCGATCAAAGTATCATATACAATGCTTAATTCATCTTCAATTAATTTTTCTGAGCATATAGCTCTAACTAACTCTGTGGCTGAGGGTCTTCACTAAATTTCTTTTATACTTGATAGGAACGAAGCTGTGAAAATGTGTATATTGTCCTGTCCAAGTACTTTTTCTATGCAAATATCTTTTTATGCTACCATCTGGTTTTCTTGTAAGTAGGACATCCAGGAAGGCAATTAATTCTGTCTTAGGATTTCTCTTCGCATGTGAATTTCATAGCAGAGAATGTATTTCATTGAATTCAATAATTATTGTACTTCTATCAGAACCATTATCACAAAGGATGAAGGTGTCATTCATATATCGGGAATAAAATGAGAGCTTACTGATAAGGTTGTTCATAGGTCCATTTTCTAGCTTACTTAGAAAGAAATCAGCCAGAATGGGGAGCCCATAGCTACCCCATCCACTTATCTGTAAAGTATGCCGTTAAATTTGAAATTTACGTTCGTGGTACATCCACTTTTATTGATTTTACATATCTCTGCATGCATCTATCTGTATATGCCTTTATTACTTTCTTTCGTACAGGAGACAGTTAGATTTTTCAAACATTGGTTTGGTATACAATTGAATGGTGTATTCTGGGAATTTGTACGACCATGGATTCTATTCATCATTGTCAATGATCTCATTATCATTATAACATCATTATATGCTTTGAGTACACTACATCGTGTAAGTTGTTTTTTTTAAAAGAGGGTTATTGTAATTATTATTATTATTGTTTCCTTTAATTCCTAGAGGAACATAGGGCTTCAGCCGCGCGTCTCCTTTGAGTTCGTTTCTCTGCTAAAGTTGTCATCAGCTGGCTCCAAGTCTTACCACATGCTTTCATCTCCTCTTCTCAGCATGACCTCCTCCAAGTCATCCCACCACTTCCCCTTGGGGTTCGCCTCGAGTAACGGCCTGGCGTGTGATGTCACTTGATGGTTTCCTGAGAAGTATGGCCAATCCATCCCCATTTCTTCCTGCTTATTTGTTTCACAATCGGTTCTTGCTGGTTTGGTTCGTCCTTCCCAGAGATCTGTGTTGCTGATCTTTTCTGGCTGACCATCTGATCTTGAGCGAAGACAGCTGTTGATGAAGGTCTGTAGTTTGTTTGAGGTGCTCTTTATGACGCGCCAAGTCTCTGATCCGTATAGTAGCTTCGACTGACTTCACATTGGAGTTGAAAATCCGGATCTTATTTTTGATACTGAGTGTTGTTGACCTCCATACAGACTTGAGAGAGATGAAAGCTTGTCTTACTTTCCCCATCCTCGCTGCTTTGGCGATATCCTCATCAGTTCGGTCGGCCTGTGGTTGAAACGATGCTTCTCAGGTAGGTAGGTAGGTAAGGCAGGTTGTTTCTTTCAGGTTCCTTCTATTTATGCTGGTTGATTGTTGTCTGTTGTTGTTGTTGCTGCTGTTGGTGTTGCCCAGGGTTGAATGAATTTAATTTCATTCAATCTGTCTGAAACTGTCTGTTTATGGTATTGTAGAGATACCAGCAGGTGGGTGGGTGAGTGTTGCCGACGGGGATAGGAACGATAGAAGTTCAATCATGTTACTGGGATCTGTGTGTAAGATCACAAATATCTCATCAGTCAGTCATTTTAGTGGTAGTTCATCAACCAGATGTTTGATCTGAAAGATGCTAACTTAACATGACCTCTTTCATCCCTCGTTATCACATCATGCACTGATGACCATCCCTCTACTGCTGAAACCTAGTTCCTAGGATAGCCAACAACCGGCAGTATATGAGCCGCTGGTGGGATGACATTCGTATCACTTTCTCAAGCTATCAAAACCATTAAAGAGGAGGGGCGGGGAAGCAGTGACGCCGCGCATCGTCCTTTTCACTAGTTGAGGTTAAATTTGACAGACGTAAATCAAAACTGTTTCTGTACCGAAACTACTTACATCAATCTCAACTTATATGATTTATATAAATAAATGTAGAATCGCCGACGCCGATTAGACGTTGTGCTCTTCTAAAACTGCTCTGGTGTGCATTTAATGCGAATAGCAAAAATAAAACAGTTCTTTCAAACGTGAGTTGTATTTTAATACTGGAATCGATTTAGCATAACAACTAGTGTGTTATTTGCTACACTTGTGAATACAATTCATTTCGATAGTTTCTTGTAATCGTATATTCCTTTTAATATTCTGTTGATATCCTTCCTAATGTTACAAATCATATAGACAACAATTTTAATGGTTTTAATACCCTTGATGTGCTTAAATGTCTCCGGTCTCTTAAGCCTTGGTCCTGATGGTGTACCTGCTATTGTTCTCAGAAACTGTGCTGAGATAGTTTTGTGTTACCCTCTTACTAACATTTTTAATGCTTCCTTTACCAGTAATGTTCTACCTTTCGCATGGAAATACATTAAAATTATCCTCATACCAAAACCATTTTCTGGTAGTGTTATTAAATTTAGGCCTATTGCAATTACTTCTCCTTTTTTAAAATTGATGGAAAAATTACTTTTACTTCGTCTTGAACCTTCATTGAAACCTTTTAATGATCCTAAACAATTTGCATACAAACATGGTAGATGTGTAACAACAGAAGACAAGGGCCAGGCAACAGATCGTTTTATTATGAAAATCAACACGTATTTATACATCTTTCAACTACATTATTATAGACAAGCGCAGTCATCTGATTGGTTGTTTAGGTAGAGAAACGCAGGCTTCTGATTGGTTGTTTCGGGATTCCTTGACAAATAGAGTTCTCTCTGCGAATCACATTCTGCCACGTTAACTTTGCTGTGATTGGTTGTTGACTCAGGCTTGTTCACGGCCCATATTAGTGACCTAGACCTTCACGTAGATTAGTGCCAACCAATCGGCTAGCAGCCTGCTCTCACCACACTCGTCCCCCCGTCAAATACGTGCGACTGAAGTCGGCTTGATCTGATTGGTGCAGGCGTCATCGTTGGCTTGTCTCGCTGTATCCATTTCTGGAGCTCGCTGACGTTCACGCGCCTCTCATTGTTCGCCATTGCGACTGTGCCTGCGTAACCCCATCTCGAAGTGACCATATATGGTCCTTCCCACTTTGGAAACTGTTTGCCTGACCCTGTCGAACATTCGTCCATACTTCGGCTCACACTTTCATATGCTGCTTTCGCCCGACCTCCCAGCAGCGTCTCAAGTAGCAGCTCCATCGCTGACAGATCTTGAACGCCACTCAACTGCGCAGAAGCCTTGAAGTCCTGCCCGAAGATCCATATGTCTCCATCAAAAACTGCAGGGTATAGGCTTTTCATTTTCGGTAGGCAGCGACACCAAATGTAACAACAGAAGACAAGGGCCAGGCAACAGATCGTTTTATTATGAAAATCAACACGTATTTATACATCTTTCAACTACATTATTATAGACAAGCGCAGTCATCTGATTGGTTGTTTAGGTAGAGAAACGCAGGCTTCTGATTGGTTGTTTCGGGATTCCTTGACAAATAGAGTTCTCTCTGCGAATCACATTCTGCCACGTTAACTTTGCTGTGATTGGTTGTTGACTCAGGCTTGTTCACGGCCCATATTAGTGACCTAGACCTTCACGTAGATTAGTGCCAACCAATCGGCTAGCAGCCTGCTCTCACCACAGATGTACCTTGGATGCTGCGGTTGTCTTATATCACAATGTTGTTTCTTGTTTTGACAAAGGTGCCAAGTATGTTCGTAGTGCTTTCCTAGACTACACGTCTGCTTTTGACTATGTACCTAGGGGCGTTTTATTTTCGTTGACGCAAACAGGATCCTGGGCTAAGAGTTGGTTGCATTCCTATTTTTCTGATAGAATGCAGTATACTGTATATAATGGCAAATCTTCTTCTACCCCGCTTACAAAATCCAGTGTTCCTCAAGGTTCCGTCCTCTCTCCTTTTCTTTTTTTTTCCTACATGACCTGCCTCATTCAAACGAAACTAACTTTGTCAAATATGCAGATGATCTGACTGTATCACTGCCTATCACTTCCGAGTCTGACAGCTCCAAACTTAATAGCTTTCTGTTGGACATCAACAACTGGTCCAAGTCAAATGGTCTTATGTTAAATCCTTCCAAATGTCAGGCAGTTGACTTTACTTTCAAACATCGACGTGACTCACATGAACTAGTTAGTTCGCATGATGCCTGTAGCATAGATGCCACTGAAATTGAAACCAAGTCAAGCATTAAATACCTTGGATTAGTTCTTTCCTCTGACCTTTCATGGTCATCCCACATCTTATCTATCTCTGAGAAAATGTTTCTTCTTACCTTTTACATTAATAAGTTAAGACAATCAGGTATCAACCAACCTTTAGTTTTGCAATTTTTAAACTCCTGTATTTTTTACCTATTGTACTCTATTGCTCTCCATTAATCTTTACTGGGCTTCTCAAAAAAGACTATATCATATTACGAAAGGTATTAAATACTGTGAGTAGGGCTTGTGGTATGCCACTGTGTGAGCTCGCCAATACTATAGTCGAGAGACACGTAAATTCCTGTACAAAATGGGCAAAGGCCCTCTACACCCCCTTTATTCACAACTATCCCCTTGTATCTCATCAGGTAGGACGAGAAGTCAATATAAGAAGTTATATTTGCTCGTACCACTAAGTACAGAAATTCTACAATACCCTATTTAGCCCGTACTTTATGTGATGAAGACTCTGTTAGACGTGAAACTTATAAGTTACTATGTAATTAGCACATTGAATCGACCCTTTCATTGTTCATCTTTCTGTAATTTTATGGTGTCACACTTTCTATCGTTTAATTATAACTTAGCTACTTATTTTAGTTGTTATTACTATTATTACTACATTTTTATACCTTATGTATATTTTTCTGCTTATCGCATACTGGAATTTGCTACATAGCTGCTATAACACCGCTTTGTTAATATTATTATCATGTTATTTTTATTTTTTTGTCGTTTTGAGTAAACTAGATGCAATATTGTACTGAATGCTGAAAATTCCTTGCTGTGTCATTAGTACTGTTTTTAGAATAAAGCAAAAATTATGATTATTATTAAAAAAAAAAAATTTTATTCTGTGTATATACATATGTTATAGATTCAAATGAAATACGAACCACTCACGTATTCAATGGGAATTGGCGCCCTATTAGTATGGATTGGCATACTCTACTATGTGGGATTTTCGTACGACAATAGTGTAAGTAATACAACGTTTGTTGATTTTATATATACAAATAAATGTTTATTATTAATATAAACTACTTGTGAGTAGTAGGATTTATTAATGGGAAAAAATTGAACTTTCACGCACTGTCGTATGATGTAATTCCATCGTTGAATAGAATAGTTTGTGTAATACGTCATATAGGGTGTGTGGTTCAACTATAGAATGCTCATAAGCTATGCAGGTAGTCAGGGTATGATTTCCTACAAACGGACTCCAAAATCTACGCTAGTTTACTGTCTGTTAGTCAGCCTGGAAAAGTGGGAATGTGGGTTGTTTGAACCTAGCAATCTTATGCCTACAAATAACGCCACAAATGTTGAAATTTCAAAGCATGATACCCTGTGTTTCTCTTGAAACGCAAAGAAATGGAATGAAAGATTATTTGTGAAGTTACAAACAAAATTAAGGAGTAGAACCACTGGGTGGCATCTAAATCTGAATGTTGGCAACACAAACAAGTTTTTAACCTATTAATTTTTTTATTTTTTCTATTTTTTAAAAATTTTTTTGATTACAACTTGGATATCGGTAGCCCAAAATTCGCAGGCCGACCATAGATATCAAGTGTGCATCGGCGTGGGCTCGAACCCCGGACCATGTGCGCATGGTCGGGGAGAGTCCTAACCACTATGCCACCGACACACAAAGACAAAATGATCTGGTCTACCAGAATTGCGTAACAATCATTTCCAAGTCAAACTAATCGATCAGGGTTATTTTCTGATCATCAGACAGCTAACAACCATGAAACCTAGATCTAGGGTTTCCTATTGAATAACTATGCCTTCCAGTCACTTGACATCGGTTTGTAGAGTACACTGGAATAACCAGTCAGTCAAGTAGCTTCCTTCCTTCTCTATATCCTGCTCTCCTCTTCAGGGGGGTCCATGACTGCTCATAATCTCTCATCTCCTTGTCTGATCTCTTCCATGTCACCCTCAGTATGTCTACTCACTTGTTATTTCTCATTGCGATTCCAATGGAGCAATGGCCTCCTGGCATGCGATATCATTCGACGGCCTCCCCAACGTATGCCCAACCGATCCATTTCCAATTTCTCCTACATATTTGTTGAACAATCGGATGTTAGCTAGTCTGTTCCACCGCAGAGTTTCTTGTTGCTCATTCTTTCTGGCCAGCCAGTCGACCATTTGATCTTCAGTATGGCGTCAGCGAAGGGGCAGTTGTTCATGACAGTCTGCAACTGGCTGTCACAAATCATTTTCTTGACATACTGGCAAAATTTCCTGACCTGTATAGAAGCACTGACTGACTTCACATTTGTGTTGAATAGACTCCGAATCTTGTTCTTTATGCTGACAGAGTCAATGCAGAAGATTTCCAAACTTGTTGTAGGTGTTGACTAGTGAAGTCGTATTTTGCCTTTTCGACCCTGGCTGGCCTGTTTCGACATCTTCATCCGTGCTGTCCGACTGGCTGGATAAGTGAAGGAAGTAACCTCTGTCAAATGTCTCCCGTTGATGATGGTCGGCACTGGTTGTTGTTGTTGTTGTTGCTGTTGTTGATGGTAGTCGGTTACCTTCATCATTACCTCCATCTTCTGTATGTTCACGTGCAGTCCTGTCTTCAATGCCAGCCAGCCAGCCTCTTCTTTCAGTTTTTTGCTGGTTTTCGCCTGCCTGCCTGCTAGTCTTCGTTTTTTTTTGTGAAATTAAACATAAATCATCGATGCTCAAAATCCAGATCTTCTAGAGTCGTCTTGTCGGTTGGTTCAGCGTATTCCTGTCTTCTTGCCTCCACCCCCCCCCCCCCCGCTCATACAAGCAGTCTGACGCATAATTCAGTTCACCACAATTTAAAATGTCATCGGTGATAATAGGCAGCCTTGTCTTACTCTTGTATGCACTTCGAACGCCTCCGTTATCTTTCCGTTGTGGATCACCGGACACGCAGCATTGTCATATAGCCAGCCAGCTGTTGAATAAGGTTGATAAAGACTTTGGGGGGGGGGTGCTACGCGCCGTAGTGTTGAAGTAATTTCCAAACTACTTCTTGGTTAACTCTGTTTATCGAAGGCCTTTTCCAATTTGATGAAGTTGTTCAGTAGATGTTTGACTGCCATTTTATGTTTTGGAGGAGATCGTACAAGGAGATGCGCGAGATTATGGGCAATCGTGGACCCAGCTGATGAAGAGGACCAGCATCTAACAGAACAAAATGGCGATGTGTTTTTGAATCTCTGTATTCCACTCAGAGCTGATAGAAGTATTAATCATAATATCAAGGTCAATTTATCCATCACAGTCCTACATGAAGTGAGTCGTTACCCTGAATAATTTAGTGATAACATCACTGACTGTATCATCGAATGACACGACTTGAAACCTATGACAGGATATAAGTACTGTTGAGTTTACGAAGGTAGGAGGCTTTTAATTTTCTGCGCCAAAAAGTATCAACTAACAAAAGGCCTTGAGCGTACCGATCACATGAAAAAGGAGTTTTTGACGTGTAAAATACATATATATTTCGGATTGTGAGGGCGATTGTTACTTCCCGGCTGCCCACACCGTGGAAGTTGGTTGCTATTGACCGCAGAGTCCAGAGGACAACTGCTTGAAGCCGGTCACACACGGCCTGATTTTGTTCGTTCTTTATTGTTTGGTGTGTCTCAGCAGCATATTTATCAATCCTGCCCTGTGACATGGCAGCAGGAAGCGCGGTCGTTGTTAATCCGGGCCCCGACTGATCTGGCATGAAATTTTGTAATTTTGTTTGTATCATAATGGTGGATTGGGTAGCTGCTTTTTGTTTTAACCGCTATCCAAACAACCTTTCTGGCATGGTAGGACCTTAAGAGACATAAGTCTTAGCCAGTATAGGTTGATTAGGTCATTGCGGTGTTCAAGCCCGACCACCACGTCAAGGTAGCAGCTTTCGGTCGGCCAAGTATATATATATATATGAAAAATAATGAACAAGTAGGCATGAAACTGTTTCACAGGATGCCATTCTCTAACGTAGAACCGAAATGCCTTTCAGTTTTGTATTTATGAGGGCTATTACGGTAATTAAACTATATTCTATGCACGTGTGCTTTTAAGTTTTTTAACTGTCCTTGACCTAAGCCTAACACAAAAAATATCCCAAATGTTAACTCGAACCAATTCAAATGTCTTCCTTATTTGGTTAAGTTAACACTAATTTGTCCTTAAGGGATAGGCCAAACCTAATCTAAAAATTACCAGCTATCCCATGTAATTTCACAACACTTTTCTAACACATATATTATTTAGAAAACGGAAAGATTGAGCGAGCGAAGAAATGTTTACTTTTCAATTAGATCCTCATCTCTGGCTCTACTCTAATATATTCTGTATAGCATTTTTATTACAATACACAACAGTTTACCAATAAAGTGGCACTGATGGCTTTGTTAACAATAATTAGTCAGTGTCAAATTGTCAAGCAGTGGGGTGATAATTAACGAAGAAAATTAATATGTATAATTAAAAGGTGGAAATGGTTACAACAAGTGGATTGCATAATGCACAATTTTGGAAAAATGAAGAGCAACTAAGCAATAAGTGTGTGCACAGACAGGTTGATTACGTAACAGATTGTTAAAGAAAATAAAACGATTTGGACAATGATAATTTGTAACTTAAGGGAAGGCGATGACTAGGCATATGTAACACATATCCTAACCATCTCAGTCGATGTAACTTCACAGACTCGTCGATTGATTTCCCCTCCTCCTTACCTAGAACTCCACGGAGACCTAATCTCAATATTGGTCACCTTATTATATCACCTCACACGGGAGATAGAACGCTGGCACCTATGATCAAAGACAGCTGGCTAGCCTTTTCATGTCTTCCACTCTCAATGGCCAGATGTCACAGCCAGCCATAAAGGAGGACGGAGCAAACTGCTGAGCGGTACACACGTCCTTTGGTCGATAGCCAGCCGGATATCACGTCTACTAAACCGGAGACAGCTTAAAGTGGACTACGCGAAACGAGCCTTCTGTATCCGTGCTGAGATTTCGTCAGTGATCAACCCGTTGGGGCTAATGATACTTCCTAAGTAAGTGAAGTGGTCAACACGCTCTACCACTTCACTCCCTAATTCTAAACTTGGAGTCAGTGTAGTCTAGTCCTGTATCCTGATGATCTTACATTTGGCAGGAACGAATCGCATGCCAAACATTCGTAGATTGCAGCTGAAGGTGTTCAAAAGACTCCGCTCTATTTTGTCAGCGTCCTCGCCTAGAAGGACTAAGCTGGCCAATCCACCTCCATTTCTTCCCGCATATCTGTTGCAAAATTGGTTACTGCTGGGGTGGTTCGTAGTTTCCAGAAATCACCTACTCTTCTTGATCTTTACTTGCCATCTGATCTTGAAGCGAAGACAGCTGATTATGATGTGTAGTTTGTTTGAAGTGGCCTTCGTGAGACACGGTACCAATTCTCTGATCCGTATAGTGAGTAGCATTGACTTCCTCATAGGGGTTGAAAATCTGCATCTCATTTGTACATTCTGAGTGTTGTCGACCTCCACACAGACTTAAGAGAGATGGAAACTGGCTTTGCTTTCCCGATCTTCGCTGCTTTGTTGATATCCTCATTAGTTCCGCCCGCCTGTATTAATAACAATAATAATAGTAATTTTTGCTTTATTCCAAAAATAGTACTAATGATACAGCAAAGAATTTGCAGCTATCAGTACAGTATTGCATCTAATTTACCCAAAAACGACAACAAAATAAATTAAAAACACACATAATAATAATAAAACTAATATTATGGCAGCTACATAGCAAAATAATGTATGCAATACGGAGAAAAATATGCATAAAGTATAAAATTGTAGTAATAATAGTAATACCAACTAAAATAAAATAGAAGACTTCATTATGAGCTGACATTAGCTAGAGAACCATTGGAAAACCTGGGAGTACTGGACAGCTGTTTCGTCCTAGTTTGGGACTCTTCAGCAGTACGCAC